CCCCATGGTTTGAACCTAAATGTGGGACCCAATTCCTTTCCCAAGGCTCTGTGCGAAGCCAGAGAAGCAAATCCTGTCCCAGCAATGGAAAAGTGAAAAAAAAAACATTTTCCATGGGCTAATCCAGGGAAAGAGGAAGGGAAGGAGGGGGTGCTGTCACCTCCAGCACGTTGGGGATGATGTCCCTCTCACACTGCTTCAGGAAACGATCCTTGTCAAAGGAGGGATCCACCCTGAGGATCTCGGTCAGCACCTCGGACATCTCGGTCTTGGAGAACAAACCCCCTGCACAAAGAGCTCAGTGAGGGGCTGGCACAGCCACCAGCACACAGGGACACAGCTCTGGGGACAGCACAGGAAGGAGATGTCACCCTGGGAGTGACTCCAGCCTTGAGCTGAGACCTGAGATGGATCCCAAAGATTGATCCCACCCTGATCCTGATCCAGGAGAGTCTGCAGAGCTCTGCAGTGCCAGGAGCAGCCCCAGGGGCTCTGCAGGGCTCTGAGCTCTGCAGGAGCAGCCCCAGGGGCTCTGGGCTCTGCAGGGTTCTGGGCTCAGCAGGATCAGGATCTGGGGCAGTTCCAGGCTCTGGGCTTTGCAGGGCTCTGGGCTCAGGGCTGAGCAAGATCAGGAGCAGTTGCAGGGGCTCTGGGCTCAGCAAGAGCAGGACTCAGGGCTCTAGGCTCAGAATCAGGAGCAGCCCCAGGGGCTCTTGGGTTCAGCAGGATCAGGATCAGGCTCAGGCTCAGGGTCAGTCCCAGGCTCTGGGCTCTGCAGGATCAGGATCAGGGTCAGGGTCAGGGTCAGGGTCAGGGTCAGGATCAGGATCAGGATCAGGATTAGGATCAGGATCAGGCTCAGGCTCAGTGGCAGGCCCAGTCCCAGGCTCAGGCTCAGTGCCAGGCTCAGTCCCAAGCTCAGGCTCAGACTCAGGCTCAGTGTCAGTCCCAGGCTCTGGGCTATGGGCTGAGCAGAATCAGGGTCAGGGTCAGGCTCAGTCCCAGGCTCAGTCCCAGGCTCAGGCTCAGTCCCAGGCTCAGTCCCAGTCCCAGTCCCAGTGCCAGGCTCAGTCCCAGTCCCAGGCTCAGTCCCAGTCCCAGTCCCAGTGCCAGGCTCAGTGCCAGGCCCCGGGCTCTGCCCTGTCCCCTGTACCGATGAGGTCGGTGACGCGGTCGGTGACAGCGCGGGACGCTCGGATGAAGGCGTTGTCACTCTCGTCGTATTTCATCTTCATCTCAAAGAACCCTGCAAGGGAACAGAGAGCTCAGGGCCAGGGAACGACCTGCAGGACCCAGCCTCTCCTCAGTGCCTTTGCTCAGTGCCAGGAACCACCTGCCAGATGGTTTTCTCCCCATTTTATTCCCCATTTCCTCCCCATTCTATTCCCCATTTCCTCCCCATTTTATTCCCCATTTTCTCCCCATTCTATTCCCCATTTTCTCCCCATTCTATCCCCCATTTTCTCCCCATTCTATTCCCCATTTTCCTCCCTTTCTCTCTATTTTCCTCCCCATTTTTCTCCCTGTTTTTCTCCTCATTTTTCTCCCTGTTTTTCTCCCCGTTTTCCTGCCATGCTCTGATCTCTGAGTAACTCTTCCTCTGCTAACACTCAGCATTAACACCTCTGGGAAGGCTGTTAATTTATCCAGTGGAAGGAGGAAATTCAGGATTAAGCTCATTCTGAGCAGTGCTGCTCCAGCTGGTGGAGTCTCCATCCCTGCAGGTGGCACTTGGGGTGACAATCAGGGACAGGTTGGACTCGATGGTCCTGGAGGGTTTTTCCAACCTAAATTCTGGGATATCTGGGACTAGAAACAGCCTCAGATAATACCAAAAGTCAGCTTTACACTGCAGAGAGATCACATGAGTTTTCAAGTCTTTCACCAATTTGGAATTTGTGTGAAACTGCCTGGATTTTTTTCAGGATTTTCCTTGTTTTAAACTCCAGCTGGGGAGGAGCAGAGCTGCTTTCCCTCTCCCTGGTGCCAGAACAAAACTGAGGAGTGGGGAGCAGGAAATCCAGGGGTTCAGCTCCAGGGGGGAGCAGGAAATCCAGGGGTTCAGCCCACTCTGAGCAGCACACATGCAGCACACATGCAGCACACATGCAGCAGCCTGGAGAAGCTGCAGAGCTTCCAGCTCTGCCTCCCTCCCTTCACAGCATTCCCAGCATCCCAAACCCACAGGGAAAGGTGGGAATTTGGGATTTGCATCCCTGGAGGCACAGATGGGAGCAGATCCAGGCTCCCAGGGAAGGGAATGTGCTGCTCCCTCTGAGCACTCACTGTTGAAAACCACGTTGTTGTCCTTGAAATCTTTCCACTGCTGGTACCACTTGGAGTCTTTATGCAGCACCATGCCCATGGCCTCCCTAGAGAGGGCAGAAAACAGGGATAAAATGGGGATATTTGGGAAAAAATTAACTTGTAACAAATACAGACAACACCCTGAGGAATATCCCTGCAGCACTTGGCATCAGTGAGGCTGAGGCAGCACAGAAATGATGAGCTCAATTACACGATAAATTATGGCCTCATAAATTATAAAATAAATTGCAGCCTCATAAATGATAGCCCTATAAATGATCCACCAGACAAATGAAAACACCAGACAAATAAAAAACCAGATAAATAAAACATCAGATAAACAGAACTCCAGATAAATAAAGCACCAGACAAATAAAACTCAGACTCAGAGGAGCAAAGCAGCCCTGAAAAAAGGAGCTCAGCCTCACCCAGCAGCAAGGAGTTAAAACTGAACACAAAACAATGCTCAGCTCAGAATTTCACCTCTGAACATCCAATCTGAGCTTCAGAATTCGAAAGTTCAGAATTGGAAGTTCCCACTTTTAGCACAGGAAAATTCAGGATCCCCCCCCAAGCCCCGCTGGGAATGCGCTCCCAAAGCCCAGCTACTCCTGGATTTGAATCCCTGACGTGTTTGGAGCTTTTCCATCCAATTACACACAGAAATTTCCCCTCCCCTAGAGGATTCCCCACGTACTCATTGGCCTCAAACACTCGCTGCTCCTTGATCCTCTCTCCAGAATATTCCGTTCGTTTCCGGAGCCGCTCCGGGCGCCTGTAGGGACCCGTTTGTCCCAAAACGCTCTCATCTATCTCCTTCTTAACACTTTCCACTCCCTGAAAAGGAAAACAGCCCTGTCAGTGTGGATTTATTGCTCTCCCAGAAGCTGAAAAATCCCTCCTGGGATGGTTTGGGAAGAGATTAAAAAAAAAAAAAAAAACGCTCTGTGCGCTCGCAGGGATGGGGCAGCCACAGCTTGACAATAAAATATTGGATATTTCCCTGTAAAAAAGAAGGATTTAAGGAAGATGAAATCCCACTGGGGAGAGGCATTTCTCACCCTGTTTGCTCGCCAGGAGGAGCAGCTCAGCCCTGGCACTCCTGGGGGGGGGGATTTTCCTGCTGGATTTCACCCCCAGCCTCCCCCCAGAGCCAAGCCCAGGCTCTGCAGCACAAAGAGCACAGGGAGCAGGACCTGGGAGATGGCTTTGAAGGCTGCAGTCCTGCCCAGCTTCTCCCCTCCCCTGGTCACTGACTCTGCTGATTGCTTGGCTGTCTTGGCTGCCTCCTCCACGCCCTCCTTGATTTTCCTGCCCAGGTCACTCTTGCTGACCTCGTCCAAACTCTGCAAGGCAAAAATTGAAAGGTCATCCCAGCTCCAGGCATTGTCCCCAGTCCCTCTCCAGCTCTCCTGGAGCTCCTTCAGGCCCTGGAGGGGCTCTGAGCTCTCCCTGGATCCTTCTCCTCTCCAGGTGAGCACCCCCAGCTCTCCCCAGCCCTGATTTTGGGGTTCCCAGGGCTGCAGGTGGGGGTCTCCCTCTTCTCCATCCCCCAAATCCCAGAGGAATCCCTGGCTGGGTCTGCTCTGACCACACTCAATCCATTATTTCATTAATGGTTTTAAAAGCTCCAGGGTCTGAATCACCTCTGCCACCAACAAGGCCAATTCCAGCTCCCCAAAAGCACAATTTCAGCAGAGCTGCCCTGAGGAAAGGTCCTTGTACCTCTTTAACCGTCCCTGTTATTTCTTCAAGTTTCTTTTTAATCACTTCTGAGGTCTTCACTGTTTCAGACTCAATGGTTTTCTAGGGGGAAAGAACATTAATCAGGAGAGAGAAACGACTCGAGCCCAGTTTGGATGGAGCACAATCCATTAAGGCTGGAATTGAGAGCAGAAAAAGCAACATTTCAGGAGCTCATGGCCTGAGTCAGCAGCAGCAGCTCAGCTTTGCAAATGACGATGTTCAGAGCCCTCTGAGCAATGCAAAATAAACATTTGATCCTCAATTTAATGCCTCATTATTTGATCTGCTCAGAAATGCAGCCAAGTGTCTGCTGGAAAGACTTTCCACTAAGAACAAAAAAATAAAAAAAAATTCCAACAAATAAACATTCTGAGGCATCCGTTTAGCACTGAGTGCTTCCAGCCAAGCAGAACTTCTCCTGAACAGCTCAACTGTGGATTGAAATTTCCACTCAGAGCAGGAAAAACTCAGGGGCTGCTCAATAAAGCAGGGAACATTCCAGAACTCACATATTTCCTCCTCGCTTCCCGCAGTGCATCCGACTCCTCCAACTTTTTTGCTTCATCCCGGAATTTTTTGATGCTTTCCTTCATCTCTTTGTTTTTGGCTAATTCCTGTTTGATGTTCTCCACAAAACCTGAGATGAATCCTTTCCTTCCTCCCGAGGAGTAGCATCTGGACTGGAGAAAACCATTCCACGTTGGAGAATCCCATGGGATTGGAGCATGAGAGTCCAAGGCAGGGTGGGCTCAAGGTCACTTTTGGAAAAAAATGGATCTGCTTGGAAAAGCTGATCCTTCAAAGAGCCACGTGTGCAACGGATTTCATGGAAGCCCAGGATGGACTGGGTTGAAAGGATCTGAAATCCCATCTCACTCCATCCCCATCCAACCTCAGACACCCCAAAATTCCCTCAGTTCCACTTAAAAAATGGAAATTTCCAGCCTGGAACCGGCACTTCCCAGAGTTCAGGACTCTGCTGGGAAAACACTTTGGGGTGGAAATGGAATAAATTCAGGTGGAACCAACCTGGGAGGTGCCCAGGGCAGGGCTGCTGATCCTGTACAGGGCACTGCTGGGGAAGGCAGGGATGGGATAACGCCTGGAAAGGAGCCACAGCCCACTGAGGAGACATTTCTGCAAGGAAAAAAAAAACACAGGAGGAGCTCAGGGAAGCGCCCAAGAGCTCCCAGAACCTGGATTTGGGACAGCAGCAATGCACAAATCCATCTTGGAGCTGAAACGTGAAAAGCACACGGCTTTTTCTGGCAAAACTCTTCCGAACACAACTTCTTCCCAGCTCTGGAGGATCCCAGAACAATCCCTGCACGGTTCTTCTGCTGCCCCTGCGGATTCCTGCTCTGGAAGGGGTCAGTGCTGAGCTCAGGGCAGAATCAGGGAAATCCAACATTAAAAAAAATCTGTTTTCGCTCAAGAACAGCACCGAGTCTCGGGCCAGGAACCAAAGGGCTGAGCCCTGGCAGCTCCGGAGCAAAGGCACGAACCGAGCAGAAACCCCGGACCGAGCAGAAACCTCGAACCGAGCAAAAACCCCGGACCGAGCAGAAGTCCCGAACCTCTCGTTTCACTCTGGGTACAAAAATCCCACCCAGCCCCTCGTGCTACGAGCGGGAGCTCAGGGTGACGCCCCGTGTGCAGCTCCCGCCGTTCACGGGGAATTTGCTTTTACGGGAATACCGGGAGTGTTTGGCTGGAGGAGCCTCAGCAGCTCCGGGAGTAGCGGAGCGGGGTCGGGTCCCGCTGTCCCCGCTGTCCCCACACCGGGAGCTGCCAGCGCCGGGGCCCTGAGGGCCGGCAGGGAACGGCGGCTCCGGGCTGGGCCCCGCTGTCCCGCTCGGTGTGTCCCCAGCCCGAGCAGGCCCCGTTCCGCCCGGTGCCGGTTCCGGTGCGGTGTCCCCGGTGCCGGTTCCGGTGCGGTGTCCCCGGTGCGGTGTCCCCGGTCCCGGTGTCCCCGTGCTCACCCGGCACGCTCCGGCCGCCGCCATCGCCCCGCGCGCGCCCCGTGACCTTCGCGCGGCGCCGCGCCGTGACGTCACTGCCGCGCGCCGCCCGCGCCACGTGGCCGCGAACGGCGGGAACGGGCGGAACCCACCGGGAGCCGCGGGGCTGAACCGGGACCGCTCCAAACCCGGCCCGGTCTCACCGGGAGCCGCGGGGCTGAACCGGGACCGCTCCAAACGCGGCCCGATCTCACCGGGAGCCGCGGGGCTGAACCGGGACCGCTCCAAACGCGGCCCGATCTCACCGGGAGCCGCGGGGCTGAACCGGGACCGCTCCAAACCCGGCCCGGCCTCACCGGGAGCCGCGGGGCTGAACCGGGACCGCTCCAAACCCGGCCCGATCTCACCGGGACCGCTCCAAACCCGGCCCAATCTCACCGGGACCGCTCCAAACCCGGCCCAATCTCACCGGGACTGCTCCAAACCCGGCCCAATCTCACCGGGGCTGTCTCAGGGCCCCTCCGTGCCCCACACACCGGATGCATTTGTGGTGTTCAAAGCGTTTCCTGCAGGAAAAGGGGGAATCTCTCCCCTCTCGCCTGTGGCAGGTGTTTGCCCCATACCTGCCTGGGCCCTGCACTCACTCCAGGAGAGAAAAAAAGAGGTTTTTGACCGCATTTGCACTAGAGAAAATGAGCTGGGATTGGGTGGGATAGAGGAGAGGGAAGATCCTGCACCCTTGGAGCCATCCTAAAGAGATTCTGACAGAAACCAAGAGGAACGCTGGTTATTTTGACAAACTGGAGGTTGCAGGGGTTTTAAGCAGAGTAAAGGATGCTGTGACTGAAATCTTGAACTTGCATTTATTATCAAAGTCAGACTGTTTACATCTGTCAGGTCAACGAGATGCCACAACTACAAAAAAAGATTGTGCACATGGCAGTTCCAATGCAAAAAACCAGTAAAACGGGGGCTCCCTCGGTTAAAAAAAGGACTTAAAATTACTCCAGAAAGCAACCGGGTTGGGCTGAACAGCTTTACATCCAGTCAGCAGGAGGTGGGGAGGGCAGCGGGCGGGGCTCAGGCGTTGCGGTCGATCCGCACGTCGATCTCGCGGCCGCGCAGCTGCAGCCCGTTCATCATGCGGCAGGCGCGCTCCGCCACCTCCGGAGACTCGAACCGCACCACGCCGCAGCCCTTGGACTTGCCGTTCTCCATCTTGATGTCAGCGTACAGCACGTGGCCTAGGGAAGGGCAGGGAGAGACCTGAGTGCTCCAGCCAGTCCCGAATCTGCACCTCAAGGTGCTTCCCCCACCCTGCCTTTGGCACTCCTGCACTCCTCCATCCAGTCCCAAATCTGCATCCCAAAGTCTGCTCCCCATCCTGCCTTTGGCACTTTCCATCCAGTCACAAATTTGCACCTAAAGGTGCTCTCCCACCTTGGCTTTGCTACTCTATCCACTCTCCATCCAGTCCCAAATCTACATCCCAAAGTCTGCTCCCCATCCTGCCTTTGGCATTTCAGCCACTCTCCATCCAGTCCCAAATCTGCAGCCCAAGGACTGTCCCCATCCTGCCTGTGGCACTCGGAGCTCTGGGAGGAGCTGGCTCAGGTGCTGTTGGACAGGAGGGGGATTTAACCCAGCTCAAGCAGCAGCACCAGGATGTGGAGGGAGCAGAGCCCTGTCCGGAGGGTCAGTGCAGGCTCCACCTCACAGCCAAGGCTGGGCTTGGCTCCCATGGAATCCTGGAATGGTCTGAGCCAGGAGAGACCTCAGAGAGCATCCAGTGCCACCCAGGGCCACCTCCTGCTGTCCCAGGCTGCAACAAGCCCTGTCCAGCCTGGCCTTGGACACTTCCAAGGATCCAGGGGCAGCCACAGCTGCTCTGGGAAATCCATTCCAGGGTGTCCCCACCCTCCCAGCCAGCAATTCCTTCCCCATCTGACCATTATTCATATTCATTCCTCAGAGTGAGGAAAACTACTCACCACATTCATTGAATTTATCTTTCAGCATTTTCCATGTAAAATCAAAAGGCAGCTGTGGGAAGAGAGGAATAAACCATTACTGAGGCTGTGCTGAACAACCTGCAGGCACCCCCAGCTCCCCAAAACTGGAACCCCATCCCAGAACAGCCACTGCCATAAAACCATGGGATTGTGGTCAGCCAGGAGCTCTTCTCCTGGTAAGGAAATGGCTCCAACTCCCCCAAAATGTGGCAGCATCCAGTATGAGACTGTGACTGGAAACTGAGCTTGGAATGAGATCAACACAGCAGGGACAATGAATGCCATGGGTGTGAAGGGAGGGGTGGGAAAGGGCAGGAATGGGAACAGGGGGAACACAAGGAGAAGGAACAAGGGGAACTCCCATTTCTCACAAATATCTGACAGGAGAGGTACTCACATTTCTCACAAATATCTGACAGGCTTTCCGGGCCACGCCGGCTGCAGGGCCTCCTGCTCCTCCCAGGGACCCTGCAAAATTCCCTGCAAAGTTGCCCCTCTCCATATCCATGGGCCTCTCGAAGTTGCTGCCCATGGCCAGCCCCATGCGCTCGATGCCGGCCCCCATGCCCTGCCCCATGGGCGGCCCCATCCTCTCCATGTTGGTGGCCCCGATGCGCTCCAGGCCCATCCTGTCCATGGGCGCCGCCCCCATCCTCTCTATCCCGATCCTGTCCATGGGCGGGCCCGGGATGCGCTCCAGCCCCGCGGGCATCCTCTCCATCACCTGGCCCATCCCCGCGCCCATCCCCGCGGGCACCATGCGCTCCAGGCCGATGCCCATCCTATCCATGCCCGCCCCCATGCGCTCCACGCCCGAGCCCATCCTGTCCATGGCTCCGCCCACGCGCTCCATGGCCGCTCCCATGCGCTCCATGGGGAAGCCGATGCCCGAGCCCATGCGCTCCATGCCGGAGCCCATGCGCTCCATGCCGGGCCCCATGCGCTCCAGGTTGGGCGCCAGGTGGTCGATGCCCAGCGGGGCCATGCGCTCCATGCCCGAGCCCATCCTCTCCACGTTGGAGCCCATGCGGTCCAGCACCAGCCCCATCCTGTCGATGTCGGAGCCCACGCGCTCCATGCCGTGCCCCATGCCCGCCGGGATGCGCTCCATGCCCGAGCCCATGCGCTCCATGCCCGGCGCCATCCTCTCGATGCCAGGGATGCTGGCGTTCCCTCCACCTGAAACGCACAACACGAACAGGATGAGAAACCTGAGCAGCTCTGATGGGATCCGTGCCCTTCACTCAGAGCTCTGGGATGTTCAGGTCAAACCCTGCAGCACTGAGAGCCCAAAATAAGGACGTGGAGGTGCTGGAGAATCCAGAGGAGGCCCCGGAGCTGCTCCACACCCAGGCTGGGAGAGCTGGGGCTGCTCACCTGGAGAGGAGAAGGATCCAGGGAGAGCTCAGAGGCCCTGAAGATATTGAGGGAAAGGGACTGGACACAGGGAATGGTTCCCTTGATTCTGAAATGCTGTGATTTGGTCATTAAACCAAATTAAATCTGGAAATTGATGGGGGAGCTCTATCTGCTTAGAGGTGTTTAAGGTTCAGCTTTGCTCCAGAAATTCTGCAGTTTCATTACTGGGATTGTCCAACGTTTCCAGGGAACATGCTCAGAAGTGAAATGTGATACAGGCAGCAGAAGAAGTAGGATTTTGTTTCCACTGACAAAAAATAACCTCCCAGCAGCATTTCAAAGCCAGACAGCAAATTCCTACAGCAGATCTAAAATCTAGTTTTTTAATCTGTGTCACCCCCATAATTTTTGTGAGTTCAGGGATGAACAGCAGGCAGGAAATGAATTTCATTTACTGCACTCACCTATTCCCCTCTCCAAGGTCTCTCCAAAACTCCGGGACATTCCCATCTCGTTTCTTCCAAACTCCCTCTCAAATCCCCCTCCCATGGCTCGATCCATCTCTGCAAAGAGAAGGTGGAGAAGTTTGCAGGGGGTTTTTATGACCCCTGAGAGAACATTTTACCACAGGAAGGTTTTTGTGATTTTCTTCTGATCCTTCTGTCGTGGTTTGAGGAGCCCAAAGCCCCAAGGAAAAGCAGATTGACCCCAAACACACGGGAGGCTCTGGGGAAAGGACAGAGCCAGAATCTTTCTGAATAAACCCTTCAAGGTACCAACAAATCACTGGGTTTGTGCAGCTCAAGAGGCCAGCTGGAAAAGGCTCAAATTATTCCCTTAGACCTGAGGTTTGTGGAAAGAGGGATCCCTCCCAGGGAGACACAAAAATCCGGTGCCTACCACTCATCCTGCCCATGTTCATCCCGGCTGGGAAGCGGCCGATGTTTTCCATGCCACCAAAGGGACCTTCCATTCCTAAAAAAAAAAACATTTTCCAGGCATTCTTTAGCAGAGCATTGCAGCAGCACAGCCAGCAGCTGCTGCCCCACACCATTCCCACAGGCACAAAGCAATTCCCTGCCACCAGGTCCCAAAAAAGGGGCAGGATTTGGGTACAGTGTTATAAAAACCACGGAATCACAGAGTGCTTTGGGTCGGGATTTTGAGGAGCCATTCCAACCCCCAGGGATGGCACTTCCAGATCTGCTGAGTTAAGGAAGCACAGGTCATTTTTTATGGGGTGTGCCCAACCCTCCCCACACACCTGCAGCAGTTTCAATACCCAAAAAGCACCAAATTCTTGCTAAATTGGTGCTGATTTCCCAGCACACAAATCCCTGCCCAAACACACAGCCCAGGCTGCAGGACTTTCACAAAGCTATGAACAGATCAAGAACCACAGCTTACCTCCCATTTTATTCATTCCAAAGCCCATGCCTTCCATTCCCATTCCTCAAAATAAAAGAGAAAGTTTTATATAGCAGGTGTCAGCCAAGAAATTCCAGCCAAAGGCTGCACAACTCAAACCACACAACACATCCATTGGGCTGAAGAGCTTACATGGGATAACCCTGAGGAGATTTCAACATTCCTGCTCAGAAAATCAAGCAGCAAAGGGGAAAAAAAAACCCACTGGCATTTCGACATGGAAAGCTGAGTGTGTGCTACTTTTTA